CTTTTCCTTATCTACTTTCTCCACCTCACTCATGATTTTATATACCTCTATCATATCCCCCCTTAGTCTCCTCTTTTCCAAGCTGAAAAGTCCTAGCCTCTTTAATCTCTCCTCATATGGGACCCTCTCCAAACCCCTAATCATTTTAGTTGCCCTTCTCTGAACCTTTTCTAGTGCCAGTATATCTTTTTTGAGATGAGGAGACCACATCTCTATGCAGTATTCAAGATGTGGGCGTATCCTAGATTTATATAAGGGCAATAATATATTCTCCGTCTTATTCTCTATCCCCTTTTTAATGATTCCTAACATCCTGTTTGCTTTATTGACCGCCTCTGCACACTGCATATACATCTTCAGAGAACTATCCACGATGACTCCAAGATCTTTTTCCTGAGCCCTATCTTCCCCAAATATCCCCTCAAACCCCTACACCCCCTTTCCTGGAGAGGCTTGAGAATAATATCCTCACAAATTGGTATAGGTGAGCACAGATCCAAACCCTTGGATCTTAAAATATGAAAAAACAATCAGGTTCTTAAAGAAGAATTTTAATTAAAGAAAAGGGAGAAGAATTACCTCTGTAAAATCCGGATGGTAAGTAATTTACAGAATAACAAAAGTCAAGAACATAGAGGATCTCCCCTCTAGGCAAAACCTTAAAGTTACAAATCCAGGGATAAACCTCCCTCTAGACAAAACCTCCCGCTAGATAAGGAAAATCACAAACTAACGCATTCCCTTATTATTACTTACTAATTCTAATTTAGTTGGATTGCTTGCCTTCTTGATCTGTCTCCGGCAAGCACACAGAACAGACAGACCAAGATCAGATAAAACAAAGCCTTTTCCCCCTCCCCAGATTTGAAAGTATCTTGTCCCCTTATTGGTCCATTTGGTCAGGTGCCAGCTAGGTTACCTGAGCTTCTTCACCCTTTACAGGTAAAAAGATTTTGTGCCTCTGACCAGGAGGGATTTTATAGTACTGTATACAGGAAGGTGGTTATGACAGAGACGTTGTGGGATAGTTCAGCAGTGGGACTGAGGCACTTGTTGGCTGTTATATAGCCATGGCCATGTGTTCTCAGTGTTGGGATTGCATAGACCAAAGAGGCTATTTTAAAAAAGGCCACAAGTGTGCCTGGGAGTGATTGGCAGTTTTGGGACAACTATGAATGTGCAATTAAGACTTCCTTAAATGAACCAACAGAGCGCATGTGCTCTGCTGCTCCACGTGTGGACTTTCAGCTGCCGATGCCTCTGTGAAATGCCCATGATACACAGTACTGGATGGGATTTCACTCGCAACTTTTTCTTGTTGAACTCATGATATTTGTTTCTCCGGAGAGAGAGAGATGCACTGTGGGTTTGGTGTTGACTCAGTGCAATTATTCAGTGTCCTGAGCATGTGAACAACGATCCTTGGGGCCTTTACAGGTCAAAGAGCCATTTTAAGAGTGTTTTGCATGTTGTTAATTTTATCTTTGCTCTCCCAATGCCATGGGTATGATGCTAACTCACAGCCAGAAACTAACACAGTGCTGTCAGATTGTCAGAGGTATTAGAGACTGGTGCCTCTCCAACCACCTTTTTTTGGAAATGTAGTGTCAGGAAATCTTTACTTGAGTTAAGAAGAGGCTAGATAAAGACTAAAACTTACCTAATAGGTTCTATCCAAACCGATGCCCAAGGAATTTGAGAACATGGCATTGGACCCACTGATACTTTAGTGCTTTTCCTTAACACAGTGTTTCAAATAAATAAGTGGTATTTGGGGGGACAGGCAGAAGTGTTCAGACATGTCGTTATATCTCTGCAGGGCCCATGTGTATGTGCTTTCAAATCTGTTCATATTCTCCTGGTAAATAAAACTGATTCCACAGAAGTATCTTCACTTTGTTTCCCAATTCTCAGTGATACTGATGTTCTTTGTAAAGTGCTTTGAGATCTACTGAATAGCTATGTTGGTTGTTTATGTATTGTATAAGTTCTTATACTGCTCTCATCACCATAATATCTGAGTCTCCCAGTATTCCATTAAATAATGTGACTATGCACCAGGCAGGTGTGGTTTTTTCCCCCTCTCATCCTCTCTTCAGGAGAGAAGCATGTGATAGGGTT